TATTTTCTTATTGAATATCAGTTGATTATAGTTAGATGGGTCCGTTTCTGGGTTCTCAATTCTGTTCCATTAGTCTATGTGCCTGTCATTGTACCAGTACCATGCTGTTTTGGTCACTACTGCTATGTAGTAGTTTTTGAGGTCAGAGAGTGTTATGCCTCCCACTTCATTTTTGTTTCTCAGAAGTGCTTTGTTTATTCGGGGTTCCTTTACTCCCCAAATAAACTTGACCATTTCCCTTCCGATCTCCTTTAAAAATTAGTATGGTACCGGTATTGAGATTGCATTGAACATGTAGATTGCTTTTGATAGGATTGTGATTTTCACAACATTGAGTCTTCCTTTCCATGAACAGGGCACATTGTCCTCATTTCTTTAGGTCTTTTATTGTGTCTTGCAGAAATTTTCTGTAGTTTTCTTTGTATAGATCTTTTGTGTCTCTAGTCAGCTTCACTCCCAAGTATTTCAATTTATGGTTGGCTATTGTAAATGGTATTGCTTTTTTTTGGTTTCCTTCTCAGAATTCTCTTTGTTACTGTAGAAGAAGCTCACTGATTTTTGGATATCGATCTTATATCCTGCCACTCTTTTAAATTGGTCTACTAGCTCTAACAGTTTGCTGTTGTTGTTGAGTCCTTGGGATTTTCTGTGTGCACTATCATATCATCTGTATGTTGCAACAGTTTTACCATCTTTTTGCCAATCTGAATGCCTTTTATTTCCTTATCTTGTCATATTGCCCTAGCAAACACTTCCAATACAATATTTAATAGAAATGGTGACAGTGGGCAGCCTGTCTGGTCCCTGTTCACAAGGAAAATGCTTTTAGTCTTTCTTCATTGAGAATGATTTTGGCTCTCGGTTTTGCATATACATACACATACTTTTCACTATGTTGAGGAAATTCCCTTCTATTCCAATTGTGCTGAGTGTCTTAATCAGGAAGGGGTGTTGGATTTTATCAGATGCCTTTTCTACATCAATTGCTAAGATCATATGGTTTTTTTCTTTGTTTAAATAAAAATTTTTATTTACTGGTTTGCTTATGGTTTTTGTTATTTGCTTTATTAATGTGGTGGGTTAAATTGATTGTTTTTCTTACGTTGAACACCTCTTATGAATCCTACTTGGTTATGATGAATTGTGGCTTTTTTTAAAAAAA